AGTAGTAAAAAAGTTCTGGTCTGGATAAACTGCAACGTTGTAAACGACGTTTCTCAAAACCAATTCAATCATGTATAAGCCTATATGAATCTCGTTCCTATCCGTGGCTAGCGGATGTGCCTTGAAGGAACAGCGAATAAAGACAGTTTGTAAACACTTCTCTTGTAGTCCATTTGGACGTGCTTGAAGGATCTTAAGTTTTAATAGGTACACCCATAAGTATATGTTTCTTGAAGCACATCTTATGATATACTTAATACTTAGAATTGTGTTTTCACTTGTGAGTTCAAAGACAGTAACAAATATTTCAAGCTGTTGCAATATCATTTCACCGACTAGTTCACTTTATTTACCATGAGAAGGAACGTATCGTCTAGAATATAGATATTTGAAAAACTTTAATTGTATGATTATATAAAATTATGAAGTTCTTGAGAAAACTTAGACTGCTTCATTAGTTAAATTATTGTGTAGCAAAGGGCATCTTACATACATAGAAAGCTAATCGTGCCATGCTAAAGAAGCGATGTCATCGCGACGGTACATTTTGAATTCTGTTCCGAATGCAAATGAACTCATTTTAAGCGCAGTACAATCTTGCATGATCGTTTTGTACTGGGCTAGGCTTGCTGCTAATATAGCTTTTCGACATACAGTAAACACGTGACGCGAGTAGACGGATGTTGAAGCAAGATTTTTGAGGTATCAGCAGCTGCCGCTTTTTTTTTACAGCTCCGAGCTGTCGTTGCAACGTGGTCTTGCTCATCCCCAGTTCACAACCTATCTTCCTAATGGAAAAGAGACCTTTACCTACAATAGCCGTAGTTGTTGTCTGAGGCTGCATTCTGTCTCTATTAGTTTTTTTTTTTATCTGTACACACAATTTAGAAATTTTGAGTCGAATAAGTTAACGACGAGAGTGCTCTTAACAAAGCCCAGAGAGAAAGGTGGCCTTGGTCGCTTCTGCACAAGCAATAGCGATAAGAACCAGAAAACCTTGTTTTAAATTATCATATGGTGCGTAGCACCCAGCGTTTAGGTCAGTTTGAAATATGATACATTTAGGAATTTTATGCATATGTAAGCAACATTGTGCAGTCTCAGTGAAATATGTACATGCTCTCTACGGTATAAAAGGTGATGACGATTTATGCTATTAGCCCAGTTAGCCCTAAACATGGTAATGTAAGTAATTTTTATCTTGTTTCGGAAATGTAGCTCAAGGCCCAGCGGAATTGCCATCGTTATTTAGCCTCTCTTTCGTTCCATGGAACTTCGATAAAATGGGCAAAAAAGCTGTTTCATATAGTTCCGCCTTCTAAAATTTAGTTAAAGAAAAAAATTCAGTAACACCAATTACACAAAATAACTTGTGTGCGTCAGAAAAGTCGAAAGCTTGAGAATTAAAATTTTCAATCAATGTTTTCTTGCCGGAAAATGGAGTACGCAATGTAAATCCTGTCTATCGTATTGTCCTAGTTTTCCTTATATATTGTGTGTCAAAAAACTATAGACGTTTCTTTTTAACTAAGTAACTTCAGAGTCACATATCCCTGATAAGAGCTGCGTAGGGTCGGCGTTGGTATCCTTTGAAAGCCGAAATGCAGTAGATGTAAAAGTTATAATGGAGCGTTTTAAATATAACTGAAATTTCCGCAGAAACTTTAGAAACTTTAGTTTTACAGTTTTATTTGGATTCTTCTCGTTGTTGTAGACAAGTAAAGAAAAAAGTTTATGAAATCATTGCCACAGTTGAGGACCAATACGTGAATACCCATGGTGTCGTCCAGATACTACCGTTACCTTACGTCTGAGCCCACTGTCGCCTCTCTATTCTATTTTTGTTCAGGATGACGCTATTCTCATGCCCTCATGTCCTTTTCCAACTAGCGGTAGAAATTGAATACGCCAGGTGGGTTTTTTTGTCAATAAAGGTCTCACAAATTGCACCACACGCAAATATAACTGACCTCGAATCAATTTTGGTTATAAATCGGTAACATGTTATAAATTAAATTCCAATTTTGGCTGATAAAGCTTTTAAACTCCATACGCTGCTTTTATGAAAAGCATCATCGATTGCTATCATTGCTTTCCGGGTTTCGACATCTAGTCACCTCCTTGCTGGCCTTCAACACTCCCAATTTCTGTTCTTGAGACCTTTGCACTGTTGACATACTGTACTTCCACGCAAGGCCTCTTCGTTTAACGTCTTTACCAATATTCGATGTATATACATAGCGCGATGGCTTACCAAAAACTTGACCACTAAGCGTTGATTTTTGAGACCTCTAACATACTTTGTCTTCCCTTCCGAACTCACCTTTCCTGGAGCAAACTTACCCAGTTCCTAGAAAACCGGAGTACTTACCTGCCGAATTTCGTCTCGCGGTTCAAAAGCTATTCAAATTCGAAATCCGCCAGATTTGCTTCTAACAGTATAATACACCGGTATTGTATATTAAACAGTTGTTCCATTTAACTGGGCCACGCTAGCGGCAGGACATCGCAGCCAGTATTTTTTTAGCATATTTTAGCTCCACGTTGTTCTGTGCAGACATCCTTAGCATCTATCTCAATCAGAATTACATCTTCCCAGAGCTCGTAACGGGTTGTACAACTTTTAGATTTTGATGCGACCAGGGCAGCCCTGCAGGAGTCCGGAATAACAGGCCCAAAAACGAGGTCTCTCGTCATCCCAACCTAGATCATGTTATAGGAGTACTAGTAGTGTTAGCGGCTTCTTTGCTCTCCTTGTTGAGTTGGTGCTTATATTTTCTCGGTGGCGAATTTTTAGATTAATTGCTCTAGCCCACATCTCTGTTCGAGAAATAGCATTACATTATACGTACGAATTTATTCATACTCGCGTGTCCCCGATGACAGGTCGGAAACACAATCAATTTTGGCAAGACTGGATTGATTCCGTTGTGCTAACGCGACAAAGTATACCTCTGCTAAAGATAAACTGACATTAATTTTCTATTCTTGATATACCAAAGCCGATACGTTGAGTTTCCATTTATGAAAATGTAGCGGTATTGCCTGCACGATGCCTATGCAACTGGAGGCTGCCATTTATAGGCTGCCTTGTCTTAGTACACATAATTCTTACCTGCGGACGTCGCGTATCGATAGAATCTTTCTCGTAACAACAACAGCAAACGTCATTCCCTCTTTGTTGGGTGCGATTCTAAAAATACATCTCCTTTGGTGTATGATATTAAATTACTCGAATGAATTTGGTCTAGAAATTGACTTCAGTTGCTGTGATAAAATTAGCTAAAGTAGGTGATTTTGCGATTCTTCGGGCGTCAACCAGTAACGCGCTTGGACCCCAGCCCCAGCATTTGAACCATTCAAACGTCTCCTGGCTCCTTTTATAGGGGTCAAATACGGTCATATTCTCGGTATTATCATCTGATCGGCGGACCCGCTTCGGTCTCTACGCAAACACTAATTTTTTCCACTCGCTTATGCGCGCGGCTCTTGTTGAACGCCGATCTTATCGACTCTATCCAGTCACCACCAACATAGAGCGCACGGGCTCTGCTTGTTGTTGACTGGTAGCAACGTGGTTCCCCGCTATTCAATTTGCGGTTAGACAGCCGTAAACACACAGTTGTTGACAGATTCATACTGTAACAGTTATTGCGTTACAATATATACTTTTTCATGTAGTAACTATTATATATATATATATAACAAAACGAAAAAAGAGAAATGTAAGTACTATGTCGAATAGCGGCAAAGGTAAGCTTCCAACTGAAGTGTAAATGGAAATAGGTATTCTAATAAACATTTACATGGAAATTATGGCTATTAGGATGTATCTAATATTATACGACGTTCTTAAGCGATCTATATATTGTACAGAGTTTCTCGCTATTATAAACCTGTTGACACGGTTCGTCTTTACGTATTTCGATTTCGTCAAACCTTAAACACTTTTTTATTCAAGTATGAAGCAATTCAGGTCAATTAATTATAATACATACAGAAGGCAAAGTTACGCCAACTACAGTTACAGGAATACACACTTATCACAAATAAAAAATAAGCACGTTGTAACGTGTTTGTCAAACTGAATCGATCTGTGTCCGTTTGAAAGTATTTAGACCCATTTTCTTCAATACAACGATTACCCTCAAAGCATATCTTGCGACGTTTGACATCTTTATCTTACTGGCATTAGTAAGATGGTTTCTACTATTAATAATATTCTTCGTTTAATACGAAAGGTTACTGCCGGATGTCTTAACGTTACATACGTTTCTTAATGACTAGTTGGTCCATAAATGAATAGGCCGATAAAACTGAGTCCGCAATCTTGAAACCTCATTAATTTTCGTCTTGTCAAATTTTTTTTCGTTTTTGTTGTGAGGAACAAAAGCCTTTGCACAGATTTCTAGCTTTCGTGACAATATAAAAGCAGGCATTGTAAATACATATGATGGGATGAATACCAACAAGAAATTATGTACCGATATATATATATATACGACCATATTTTTCATTTGATGAACGCGTTTAGACGCCCGCTACAGGTTCTGCACTTTGCGAAGGTCGTGCTCTTATTTCTGATTTTGTTGCGGCTGCTACTACCTTTGCTACGTCCGACAACTTTTTTCGTTTTGTGCGCTTATTAGGAGTATATATTGATTATATCGGATAATATGGAATAATGGAAGATTCATGCCTGAGCATTGTGAGCAGATTACAAGAATGTTCAAATAGCAAAGGTAGTCATCTTAAGCATGTGTACGACTGAGTAGTCAGTGCTGAGAAGCCTTTATCTAAAATGACAAATACGTTTAATGTGCACGAATAATATTTGCCTCTTTTTGTATACAAACACTATTTGCTTACTTATTTCTACTTAAGCAATTATAAGCCAACTATAATTTCAAAAAGACTACATTTGCCCCGCCCCTTCCCCCTCTTTTCTTTTGCAAATGACAGGTACAAACTATAAATGATCTTCCATACAAAACAATAAGTAACACTGAAATTATATTTTTTATTCTTTACTTGATGTGTACCTATAGTTCCAATAAGTTTTCACCTGCGAATGAGGAAAAATCAGCAGGCAGTTGAATGCACATAATTTTTAGAGCATAAATTGTTGTCACCATTACCGTCGACCTAAAACGACTTACATTGGCATCCACATTATATATAAAGTGATCAAGAGTTATGTTAACCTCGTTACTCATTTTGGTAACAATTATGAGTAGAAGAATATTGCAAATATCAGCCCACAGAATTTCGACAAAGCCTAAAGCAGCATGCAAAGGAGACTTGATCCCCCAACGACCCTTTTAGAGTCTATTTAAGACATTTGATACTTGTGAGATTCCGCTATGAAGCTTTGTTCAATCGAGTAACGCATAGGTTGTTTCGTTTCTGCGTGTTGCACACCAGCGACAAGAATCTTCGAATAAAGTGTGTTTGATGAAAACTGTACTGTAACTGGGAAGAAATCATCAGGTCGACCGCTGGCCGTAAATTCTAGCGTGCCAGATGCTGAATTCGAGTCAATTAGTTGTATACGCCATTCCAAAGCATTCCGACGTGACTCAAAGTTGTACTCTCCTAAAATATAATTAGATGACATTAGCATTTACGGCATCAGTTTCCGGCATATTTGACATCAGTAATCCAGATAATTTTTTGTTAATACGTACATTAGTATGAGTGAATTTAGATTCATGAATTTAGTGGGAGGATAAGCATCTACAATCCGGAAAAATCATTAAAATCCTTTAATAAAATATTAAGATTTCATGAAGTTAATACCTAGCATATCACAGATAATAATAATAATCCATAATTTCTTATTTGTTTTTTCTGTGAATGCCCATTTTGTAAAAAAGAGATCAAACTTACACATTAAAAAAAAACTAATACTTTTTGCGAACAATGGTGATTTTAAATCATTTGCATTAGTTACAGAAAGGTATGGTATATATCAATAGTCCAAGTACTGTATCCACTTAAGGGATATGAGCATTTATTACCGACAATTTAACCGCGGTGGACATCTTTTCCCCACAGAAAATCGATGGGGCATACTTCGCCGCACATAGTGGGAATGTGATAGATTGATCCTACTTTGAGCCTATTATATAAACTTTGTTAGGTTTGTAGTAAAATATATTTAAAATGGCTTTAACTTCTAAAGTAAACATATTCCGATTGAAAGAGATTTTATTAGAAAATTTATACTGATTTATTCATATATATACCAGAACCCGTGCATACATCGTGCAGATTTCTGATGAATCGTGTACTATTCTCTTTACTAGTTGTCCCTACTAATATTAAAAATCGGTTTTTGTAGAGTATTGTACGTTTTTTTTCTGAACTTAAGCTTAGCCCAAACATAAGTATTCGAAAAATCGTTAATATTTGGATAAAAACTATTCTCAGCTCAAAGCACGTTTATATATGTTTACCACGAACGAGTTCAAGAGTTGTTGTCGTTGCTTCTCTCTGTTTCAAATTCGTAGCTCCTCTATCGATAGATTCCGCGAGTTTCCATCTTTTAAAAAGACAGAAGTACTGAATGGCCAGTATTGTATGTGCTATGCATCATCTGCTGGTATATACATATTATATTAGCAAAAAGTAATTTGTTTAAAAATAACACGTTAGACAGTGCTGGCTCATTGATGGAACTTTTTATATCGTTTATATATATATACCGATAGGGCAGAAACAGAAGAAATGTTAAACTCAACAAAGATGATAAATATACCCCACTCCACATTTACTCTCCAGTTGAGTCAATGCCTTCCGAGGTATGACGAAACAGTAGAGATCTTGAAATGATATTTAGGAAACCTACATACCTTCGCACTCGTGGACGACCGGCGGATTCCCATGACACGGTATTTCTATAACGACCTCTTTAAGTTCCAAGTGAGGATGCTCAAGCTGGTACTCAAGATTACAATCACATCCTCCGTTGCCATTGTCGTTTACCTGTTATTTTCAAAAACAGCCGGTATGTTCACATCACATTGACTACCAGAATTACATTCTAGCAGTTAGTATGAATTACTAGCCGCCTTTCTTACATAAAGATACTGTATATGCTTGTTTTACATGTACGTACCCAGAAGCTAATGGCGAGAGGAACCAAGCTTTCGTCATTACTTTGCAGACGCCACTTGAGGACTCCAACATCAGCATTAACAGGAAAAAACTTGCCTTGAGCCTTTAGACCAATCGTACCAGAATTGCGGAATAGGTCCTTATCAATATTTGGATGCTGATTAAACTGAAACTGCCGCGGATCTTTGTTCTCCATCTGAATACGGACAAGAGCGCAATTCTCATCTGAGATTCGTAACGTGAGCATACCATGAATTTCCAACGATTGGAGGCCACCTTCGCGTAGTAACTGGCAAGCAATCTGAAAACAATCAACCAACAAAAATTGGGTAATAATCGACATTGGACCGATGTACTGATAATGTTATATTAAATTTAGATTAGATAATACCTTCTCCTCGCAGGTTAAGTGTACCGCCTCCTTCTTAACTTGTTGACATGTTTCTATTAGTTCTTTACTGGAAGGTGAAGCCTTGACTGATGATTGTACCCTCTCGCCCTCTTGTTGAAGCTGATTTGCAAACTGATCCCACTCTTTAGCTTTAGACCCCAATTTCAGGCCTTTCGGACGAGCTGTATTAGAAGGATAAGCGGGTTTTTGAGCAGAATCTGAGGTAGTCTGAAATGAAGAAGAGCCGAAGCTGCCGGAATGAGGACCTCCACTCATACTACTGCGCCCCATCGATCCAAGGGTGCCTTTCCTTGCTGCTTCCGCTCTCTGTTTCTGCAATTCTTTCGCTTTTTCTTTCATTTTCTGCTTAGCTTCACGCTCCTGGCTTAAACGAGCAGCGATGGCAGCTTTTTCTTCCTGTGAATCCATCTCAACGAACGTTCGAATCTGAGCGAGGGTAACGTTCTCACGGTAGCCCATTGCTACCAACTCATCAAACGCCAACACTAATTGGAGAGATGACATTATAACATCATTCTCCTCTAACGAGTGGCAATACTCTGCAACAACTTTCGCGAAAAGGCGAAGCATTTCAAGATCTTCTAAAATGTTAGAGGTCTTTGTTGTAATAAGGACCATGAAAAGTTTGTCCAGCAATGGTTGGTAGACGTAGCGCACTGAATCAGTTTCTACAAATGTATGTTGCCTTGCACTTTTGCCTAATAGTCGAGGAAATGCAGCAAGTAAGCCTTCGATGCGCGATCGACTCATTTCCACAAATTGCCGAGAGGCAAGCGGCTTCCCGGACTTCGTAATCACAGATGCCGACAATAGTACCATTTCGTAAAGTCGACTTCCTACCAAACTCTGTTGGGATATAATGAACCCCTATGTTTGACCCTAACTTGACCCACTCAAAACCGAACAGCAGCTACTTTATATTAGAGCAAATTTTGTATTGCGCGAACTTGGTTTTCGTAGATGCTCTAGAAAGTAACACTTCGATTCCACGTCACTCAGCTGACAGCAGATAGTTGTCTCAGCACCAAATCAACATCGACCGACCAAGCAATCTGTTCTGCTATTTAGCTATGTTAGCGCCTGGCTCAAAAGCGCCGTGTTATTGTTGTGATTAGCTCAGTTGCTACATCCGATGTTTAAGCTAATTTTTCGGACAACCACAGTATCAATCGCGCATGAAAGTGCAGACCAGTATTCCGTTACAATGTTGTGCACACAGGTTATACGCCGAGGTATTGCGACCTCTCAGACGCTTTGTAAGGCTCAAGCGGGACGGTACAAAGTAACAAAAAATCGAAGCAGGCCACTCTCATACGAACAGGCGAATCCACCGCATCAGATCGCACACAGGAAAGTGATAAACTTTTTATCTTCATAGATCCAACACAAAATATTCTGAAGCATGAACGACATAATGCTTATTTTCGTACTTCATAACTCTATTTCTTTACTCCCGTTTTTGGAGTATAAACTGCTCAAATATTGCCTCTCTAATTCACGCCAACTTCCAACAGCCTAACTGTCACCAAAAGCAATAGTAACATAGCATAATCTTACCGGTGCGCTATCGTATGAAATTTATAGGCCCTATTAGGTATCAGGAGACCCCGAATATGGAAGCTATCCCTTCCCAGGTTTAAAAAAGAATAGTTATCTGATTTACAATTCTCAGATTATAGCATTTATAAAAATATTCTTTACGGCTTGCGGGCCATCCTGGATCCCTTAAGTATTCTTATTTAAATAAACATTGCTTGTGCATGTACACGCGTATGTGGCGCAATATGCCTCAGGTGCTGCAGTACGTCGCTGGACAGTTCCGATAAACCAAATAAACTTATACCTATTTTATTTAGATAAATTTATGTTTCGAGCTTTATGGTTTTTACTGCCATTAAGCATTGTCTCAGACAACTGGCCTTTAGCATGAAGCAAAGAGTGTCTACGCCCGCTTTCGACTGTTACGCACCCCTAAATTTAATAGGCCAATACGTTACTATTGAACCATTACGGGAATACAATAAATATACATGCATCACAATTACCGATAAATGGTTTGATTAAATACGTTTCTTTGCTTACAGTCGTTTCCTAATATATGTTCACAGTTTATATCAAAACAAGTTGTTTTACTTATGCTGCAGGAAGGCGTGGAACTCTTGGAACACATCAGGACTTCGTGATGGGTTGCGTGCTTCTGAAACAGCTACAGAAGACGTGTTCATCCGCAAGTTTATAACAGGAACATGGCATCAATTATTTGTTTCTGAAATTTTGATCAAACGACGTTACAATACAATCTACATTGGGGGAATCATTCAACGTACAATTCTGCCCCGTAAAGTCTACTTCCTTATCGGATACACTGAGGAAATTCTTAGTTACATTCTCAAATGTCCTATCAAATTAGAACTTCAGAGCACCCCCGATGCTAAAAATATGATCTATAAATATATTTAGGGCTTAACACGAGTGCAGCATCTTTCTGGTCTTGCAAAGGGCAGGTGTCAGTTCATTTATAATCGTTGTAAAAAATGCAGTAATTAATTTTATAAATACACCCGTCTTGAAAATGCAAAAACCTATATTGTTGTCTTAACTGCCTTGTAGTTTATATGAATCAATTAAACGCAATAATATAATATGTAACTATTTAAATATTACCTGACAGTGCTTAGGTTATTGATCTGTACATGTAGAAGTAAGACCTTAGAGTAAGAATTAAACTGAACCATAGATATCATCCCAATCATAAATAGGTAATTGCTTGAGGCAACACCCAATAGCGGTTCCGAACGTGAAACTCCAGGCTCTATACTGTTAGTTCTTAGAACATGGCGGGTAAGATTATCGATGGTACAAGACGACCTTAGTCATATTTATGCAGGCCAGTCCAACAAGTCAACTTATTAGGTATAAGTTCTCCCGAAGTATTTTACTAACACCGTTGGTTAATTGTATCGGAGTGCCATCAATACAAGCACGGTTATAGCCCACAGTACTGCTGCTACACTCCGATATGTTGCTTGAACCGTCGCGTATGTAGCTCCGGCTGGTTGTATATTACACGCTCAAAGGATTCTATTGAAGTAATTACGCGACAGGTGTAATCGAGTAGTTATTCCTTGATAGAAATTTTCTGCTTAGGAGAAACCACTATACAAGATCAAATCTTTCGCTAGCTTGTTTACTATAAGGAACCTTTAAATCGTCATCGACTGTATCGCTAGCAGTTTTAAAAATAGTTAATGGAGTGCTGCATAGATAGAGACGAACTTCGAAAGCTCATTACATCCGAGTGAAGCCAATTTACCGGATGCGGTAAGATCGATTTCACATACGCTACTGAAACAAGTTTTGCGAGTGCTACTCCGCGAGGAAACTTGACCTTGACAAAGCACGCTTAAAATTGTTTTAGTTTTTAGTTATGGTTTTGATTCGTATGTGCCTCTAGGGAAGCCTACGCTTTTAGCCTGGTCCTTTTTCATAACAGCCACTAACTATTAATCTACTCACGATTTACCTATTTGACTTAAATATATCCTTGTTCTAAATTTTTCATTTTCATTCAGTCCACGCTACACAAATATCTGTAATGCAGTTCAGTAATATAACATTTTTTAGTTATTAGCTAGACATCCAGCAGGGCTGCATCCTATTATTGAGTTTGGATGGCCACCGTCGTTTTGTGGTAGTCAATTCAATTTTAATTTCCTCAATAGTAATAGGTATTTCTTCATTAGAATATTTTTCGTTTCACCGTCCTTGTGAATGCATATATATGCATAGATTGAGGCTCCATGCGAGCAACGACATTGGAGGTCAAAGTATTATTATTTATATTAAGGATTATTTGTATTATTTCATTTCGTAAATTGTTGCGCTTTGTATTTCCTTTCACCCTCCCTTTTTCCAGACTTAGCAATACCTTACTAAGTTCTCATTCTTATCCCTCCGTTACTCAATTTAGCTCAGATAACATTCTTACTGGGTGTTTCCCCGTTAACCTCTTACCTTCATGTACTTATTAGCTCAATCACATTATCTCAATTTAATACCCGCTTTAAATTCGCGTTGGATTTTGGTTCTAGTTACAGTTTCTATATGCCCCGAGAAAGCAGTTTAGGTCAGAGCCCTCCAAATCAGATAACGAGGTAACTGTGTGCCATAGCGATCGATTTGTCCTCGAACTGTAATTTAGGCAGATTAAGTGTGGCATCGATGGAGATTGATAAAACCAACGGATGAAAAGACACGCGGTAAATGCGATTAATAAATTTTGCATATATGATTAATATAGGATTTGATGCTTGGAGAAGTGTCGACATTCAAAGAAAACATTACTACTACATGATTTCGTATTTGCGCCTAACGTCGAAAATCAAAAGCATCTCGACAGGATAAGCAGGCGTATTTGTAAACAGCTAAAACTCGTTGGTCTTTTGAAGCAGACGATAGATTGCCTTATGGCGGTTATGAATCCACTGCTAGTCGGAACCGCCATTCTCTATGGGCAGCCGTTAGAACTAGAGTAGAAGTGGCATTTATCGATGAATTTGGTGCCTAAAATTGTGTAACAAATATATGTGTTTGCTTGATGAATTATATATTAGGATATAAGACAATTACTTTGTAAAGGTTGTGAATCGGATCTAGCCTTGCGATACTGAGTATGGGAAAACGACCTCCCAGTAGGGAAATCCGTCAGCCTTCGAAAATGTTACAGAAACGTCGCCATAGCTGGAGACCACCACAGCAAACGGTAAGTGCATTTCCACACCAGCTGGTGTGATGAACACTGGCAATGTATATATAGATATTTTTTCTTGGACATTACTTTGAAGACTTTTGGTGTTTTTTTTGCTTCCTAAAACTTATATGTTTAGAAATAAAAAGATGCATGTTCCTATACGTAGGTATTAAATTCTTAAAGCATGCAAGTCGCGGGACTTGTTTAATTTTTATGATAGTACAAGACTTTTTACAGTTAAGATGCTTTTTCTAATACATATTGGTGCAGCTGGTAACTTGTCAGGTTTTTTTCTTTTTTTAACAGATTTTACTTGTCTTTCCGAAGATTAACCTTTGGCCCATTTTTAGCCGTTTTTCAAACTTTTAAATGCATTTAATTTGTCTACCCATAGTTTTACGTGTATTCTCTTAGAAACTATTCCTATATCATAAGATATCGAAATCATCGTATTTTGAAAAAGTTAGTTGTCAACACTTGCGTGAAAAATTTTGCGATACAGATAAAGCGAAAACGGCAGGCGAAGAAATAGAAGAGAAATTCGCAGCGGTATATAATAATTAAGTATTAGCATAAATCCCAAATCATAAAAGGAGAGCAGTAAGAACAAAAACCGGTCTTAGTTTTTTTTAAACAATTGATGAGATTGGAAGTATGTCTGATGGTCTATAGCTCATGCTGGTGACGGTAGTTAACTCGACCTTTAACATTTTTTTTCAGAAATCTACGAGGGGCGATGTTTGCGTTGCAAGAAGGTGCCGCAAGGTGGCAGCTCGCCTAGAAAAGTACCGGATCTTGAACGCTGAGTTAACCCAAGAAGTCGCTACGTTGAGAACTTCTGATCGATGCAATCGAGAGTTTCAGATAATGTTCGATAGATTCACTTTAAAATTTGCCCAAAGTACGTTTACAAATTATTTTATTCTTCCTTAGTATTAAAAATCATTGAACAGATTTTTAACGCAAGAATTATATTTCAAAAATTGTATATAACGTGCGCTTGATTGATGATAAAATTGATGTTGCTACCTGCAATATTTTTATAGAAAGATCGTACACATGTTGTAGAGAAACGTTTAGCTTTATTATTTTGACCGTATAACCGTTGGACAGACATTTGGGTTTACTTGGAGTTATGTGATATTTGTTTGTTCAGGATAACACTGCTCAAGATTTTTGAAATTGTATAGCGGTAAAAGGAACACGTGTTTCTAATTCAGAATTTTCTACTCAAGTCAACAAAAATAGTACATACAGCTCCTATTAATACTAACCACGACGAATATTCTATTTCGTGTGTTATCAATACGATTTTTTAGAGTTTTTTTGGTTAGTTCAGCTCCAAGAAACTATAATGCTCGCGTTTTGCTCCACATTTGTAGCAACTTATTAAGGATATGAGAAAATATTGTTTTAAAAAATCCTGCGTATGTGTTCGGTGGTACTGACCAATTGTGAGCGATTGGCTATCTATATGGAGAGGATACGAGCGTCCTAAACCCAATTAATCCCTGGGGTATTTTTTTAATATCATTATACTTCGATAGACTAGGCAAAATAAGACTTTAAATCACTGACAAGTCTACAAGTAGTTGCTGTAGGGACAGTAATCTATATCCCGTAATAATTACTATCCTACAAGGTGGCAGGCGGGGGTTGGCGAAGAGCAACGTAATGTACGCTGAGTCGCCAAATATATAAGTTGTAATCGTTTACCGCGTCTTTCTTTCTTTAATCATCTTAAATCTTTAATCATAAAAAAATAGGTTGTTCTGGAATTCAGTGGTCCGAAACTTGTACAAATTGGCAAAAGCAGTTTTTCGTTCTTAAATAAAGCGGGTCTGTTGGTCATAAAACTGTATATGAATGCCACAGATACGTTCAAACACCAGTATAGGAGCTAACATCATCCACAAAAGCGACCAAAAACAAGCCGGCGTCGGCCATGGCGACGTATACCCCTAAGACATCCAGGATTTTTCGTCTAGTCATAGTGGTGACTTCTTTTTAAACCGTTGGCTGCTTTTGTACGATAACTATTTATTTGATGAGTATATTTGCACCTTTTTCTTTTTTCTGCATTTTATCTTAGTTATTAATTTATAATTCTCTAAAGATCAGAAGTAACCCACTGAAGGTAGATTATTCAATTGAAGACAAAAACCGTGGACAGTTGGGCTTGTCAACATTTAAATACACTCAAACTGAACCAACCTTATTAAATAGGTGACTACATAATTTCAAACGTTTCCAGCGAAACCTTTTTAGGCGCATAGAATAAAGGTCATGTCGACTTTCAGATTTTGGTATAATTTTTATATGCCAGGGTGTTGTAGTTATACCATATTCTTTACAACTAACGTAGCTTTCCTGATCAGGCTTTGAGAGTTAACACTGTGAGTTGCTGTGAACCTACAGAACGTTTTAAATAATAGTGAGTTTAAATAGCCTTGTTTCCGCATTTGTTACTTCTTAAATCGTAAGACAATCGACGATTTTTCTACTAAAAAAACTATCTGAGTTTAATTATTTTTATTTAACCTGAGAAATTAATGGAGCTGTGCTTTTTAAACGAGTGCTAGATTTTCTTTTGTTACACAAGCTTACGACTGTGAAATAAGTCACACAATTGCGCGTTTGAGAGAAAAGGTGTCGTTACCGTATATCATACATACATTTTTACGAATAATTTTGAAAGTTTGGACGCGTTATTTGCCAAGTTTTATAGAATTTTATTGGAAATATAGCATTTATATAACTGAACATGGAAGCAAATTTTTTGTTACACTTCTTATGGAAAATTCCGATAAAGAAGTAGGCACCTGTTCATATTTGGTTTGTCATATATCCGTACACATATCTTTATGCTGTATTTCGATTGAGTTTTTTTAGGTGTTCCTCGTGTGCAGGTACTGAAGAAACGTCTTGAAGAGTCTTACGACACACTCCAGGAGCTGGAGGAAATGATTAACTGCTTTTCAAATGCGGACAGACTTCGGTCGTTCTTACTTGGTGAAGAAAGTTTTAACTTTGGCGTGACGGTACGTACAATAACTGATATTTTTATGAATTGTTTGACGTGCAGCTAAACTTTACCGCATCAACATTTTTACCGTGGTTGTCGTATTTTTATCGAATTATGAGCCACTACTCAAATTCTTTACTGCTAGTTTGTTACTGAGTAAGTATGCCACCTGTCGCAGCATTATTCACACCAGTCCAACTTAACACAAAACTATAAAACCTGTCGCTTTTACTCTTTCGGTTTCGAATCACCGCTGATAAAAAAAAATCAGATTTTGTAAAGCAATGCTTAACTTTTCTATCTAATTAAAAGTTTAAAAAAAAAAAAAATATATATATATATATATATATATATATATATATTTTTTTTTTTTTTATATATATACATATATTTTAATTTTTATTTAACTTTTAATTAGATATTATAATTCCTATCTGATTAACAGACGTAACGCAATTTAGACTAAAACAAAAATTTAACGCTTGTTGACACTACGTTAATCTCTGCACTACTGCGCCGCAAGCTATCACAGCTTACCTAAGGTATATATCTGGTCAATGAATTTCCTGGTATCGTGGGTATCAATAGATTTTTTCCATCAATTGCTAAATAATTTCTAATATTTTCATGTATATATTGTCTTTACAATGGTGAAGGTCACAACTTGGTTTTACTTTGGATTATTCCTTTCCAGGGAACTGTTAACAGTGAGCCGACGAGAAGCCCACTTATAAAAGAGCCTCCACCTAGAGAACATCGTCGGTTTGATGAAAATGGAGAGATGGACACAATTATTGAGGAATACGAAAATAGTTCTACAGCAAGCCTAAGCATTGCAACAAAAGAAGTGAACTCTAGAATAAACGGCTTTGAGAGCGAAACCGAAGCTGAGGAGTCAGTGATCTCCCTCCCACCACAGGCCTCAATCAATTGTGGGAAAGAAACGTCAAAGTTCATCGCGCAAAACATGGAAAGCGAACCAAATCATAAGAACTTGCAAACACAGAGTATGAAAGAAGTAACTACGAGAGGTACAAACCGATGTGTTACAACCACGCATGATGGAAGTCGAAGAAATTCATTTCAGTTGACCGAGCCACCCTTATTAGATAATTCAAGAAGAAGTGCGCGTAGAAGTTTTGCCAGGGTAGGATATATGTGATATTGATAATTCGATTGTGCTTTTTCCCAACTAGAACGTAAATTTAAAAATGCTTTACCAAATTGTATAAGCTATTGTACTTACGGACTGTAGTTAAAAAGAATTCATTAATGAACGAATATAACACTGTGGGTTTTTAGGCGGAAAAGGATAAACCGGCGAAGACGTCAAGTCGGCATAAACAGTCCGCGTCCTCCATTGTACTCAAAGAAAAGCTTCGACTAGAAGAAACGTTTGAAGATGAGTCTGGTAAGCAGATGCTAATAATCAATGTATGGTAACCAATAAGGACGAGGAATCTCTTAATGTTTTACCATATAGTTGGCGTCGTAAAATTAAGTACATTTTTAAACAAAATCTGTTGATACAGAAAACTGTTGATACAAATATACTCTTGTGGTTATCGATGATCTACTACACCCAATAGCAGGAGCGCTAACGGATAAGTAATTATTAGAGTAATGACCAGATTCTTTAACCATTTCAGGGCCTCTCTTCAAGACATCTATTCCTTTAGACACATCTATTGCTACCCAAATCTTTCCTGGCCCAAAACACGCGCGGAGTAAGACATTGCTTGGTGAAAGTCCGCCTAGTACAACTGTAATAAACAACACTATTCCGGTAAGAGTTTCCATTTTCTAATTGATATTACTTGCAAATGGTTTTACCATGACATTGAGTTATGTGTTCGGTAACTTGGTTTATATCAATGTTGATGACAAAATATAATTTAAGTTTTTGTTTGCATGTGCCTCGGACGCATGTGCGGATTCATTGAGAAAAAGGACTAAAAGAACGTTTAAAGGAGAATTTCGAAGTGTTTCTTTGTATATAATATTTTCATCCGTATTAAGTAATGTGTGATTTGGATATTTGTTAATAGACATACATCTACAGGCTCAGGATTGAGAAAGAGTGCTTAGGATGTTTATGGATGTTTTTAATTGTACGTGAGGAGGGCCAACATCTTCATCAGGAAAAATACTTTTTAGTGTAAACCATGATTTGCATAGAGGTACATTTTCGCGTTTTCTATTAACTGAATAATTCTTTTCGTGAACTAGTATCAGTAATATATTAGTGGTGTTGTAGACGTTGTCTGCATATGCTTATACCAACGGACTTATTTTCCCTGCGGATTAACTGATTTTGTTTTACCAAAAATACAATGAAAACAAATTGTTCTCTGAGAACAGGTTGCTGGAAAATCGGACGAAGATTTTTCACAATGTGCAGATTCGACGAGCTTCCTATCAGAATCCCCAGGCCCGACAGCCGCTTTTCAAGACGAAATTGCTGCGGAACGTTCACCCACAGCAATTAATGTCGCTCAAATATGGGCAGAAGCACGCGCAGGTCTGCCACCTGCAGAAAGGTTAATTATTATGATTGATGTCGCAATGTGTGTTTGATGCAATTTCTCAGATTATTTTATCAATAACAAAATGTAACCACGGTAGTAAAAAAATTGTAATTAAGTACTCGGTTAACTGTAATACATTATTTTGATCTAGAATCTGAGATTCGCACCAAAAAAGGAAAGCTAGCCACTAATAAATTAAATATTAAATGATTTTTTTCTTTAGTAAGAAAAGAACTCAGTAAAAAAGAACTGTTTATGGCAAATCAAGTTGAAAGCAAAAAAACAACAATTAACTTGAAACAACTTTTTTCTAATTCTGTTGTTGTTAATGATATTTAAGTCTTAGATTAATGTTTTCTTTATAAACATATTTGGTGTGCAGGTCACCTACGTGCACAGGTGTAGGTGCTGCGTGGCTCGAAGCTTTACAATCTGTGCACTCGCCCTCAAATATCGAAGACGGTTCATTTCTTGCACCTTTAGCTACGACTATGGTCGTTTCTAAAAAGCCTCCTTTATTTACCGAATATGGCAACAAGATCTTAACAACTGATCCTTGTAAGTCAAACTCCCAAACAATGATTTCTCCGGTAAATAGTGCTGAAAGCGCAATTCCGCGAAGTTCTGAAAGCTCCACTACTCTACTAGTGCTGCCCCGAAACGGCCGTTTGCCTACAAGTACACCAGCAAACTCCAATAATAAGGTACTCTTATAAGGAAGTTTTTAATTATTATTCTAGTTGCCAAATTACAACTAGTACATAATACAGAAATAAATAGTACTTTTCATGCTGCATGTTTCGCAGTGCAATAAAAGACTCGGATGACATGAGAATGACAAAATTTAGCAAATTCATCATACAATACTAATTTTTTAAAAATGATACCTAAACGAAAAAATATTGCTGAGTAGATTAGACTAATTGAGTGAAAAAATATTTCCTATTTACTATATATCTCTTAATAATCCGCTAATTCATTGTCTAAACGGTGCACGTACATGTTTGTCAGTTTTAACAAATATATCTTTAAATCTCTATTACACGTTCGCTATTCAATTGCAGTCAAATGGAGGTGTTGTTAAACCATCATCACCAAGATTGTCGATCATAGAACTTCGGCCGCCTTTTGAGCGCGTAGACGATAATAAAATGGATTTCTTGCAACAGCAAAACGTAGATCGTAGGCCTAGAAAACGGAAAGCCACTGTACAGCAGCGCTCACCAACAAGGACTAAAGATCAGCATGTTACCTCAACAGTTTCCTCCCTAAGCCCATGGAAAAGCGCATTGCGAGCTTCGTATGAGGCACAGAATAACTTTGGGGGCCAGACCAATGCCCTAACTAAAAATGTTCGATTCAGTAACATTAATAAAGTAAATCCTACGCAGAGACAAATGGAAGCTGTGGTGTATTCATCCCCATCGGCTCCAGCAGAACCTACAAACCTGAACGTTTCAGAGTTTAGCAACGAGAAATTCCCTCCCATTGCATTAATAAACTCGCCCTTAATCAAAGGTTCTCGGGCCACTGCCTCAAAGAGTCGTCGGAAGCATCGCATTGCACCAGACTGTGCGAAGGCCATTTTCGACAACGCCGACAGCAACGACCGAACTATTAACGAAGTATGTTATATGTAGCTCGCATAACTGAGTTTATCAACTTTTGTATACTACGTAGTTATTAATCATTATAATTACTGCTAATTCGAGTGGGTTTTTAAAAACAATAGAAAAGTAGAAACCGTAGAAAAAGTAGCAGCCTTAGATCATGTTTCTTCCTTATCGAGTAAAACGTCCGAGGAAGTACATAATATGGAATTTGTATTTGAACGAAAATTAACTAGCATTGTGTTTCTTTATTTCTTTTTAAACCATATTTCCAGTAGCTTATCATGCAAGCTAAGATACAGATCGGGATGAACGCCAGTGAGATCTTTTTGTGCACCCACGATAAAGTATATAAGCCAAATAAAGTAAAAAAGCTAAAGAAAGTAGCATTGAAAACTTCCGATGATTAGGTTCCCACAAGGTTGCATCAATTTTTTAATGTGCTACAAAACCGCAATGATAGCCGTTTTATCATGAACTAGAGTTGCAGAATTCAGCAATCGGTCTTTTTTGACAAACTATTGCACAAACGGTTTTCCAACGCCGACAGTGTTGTTAACAGTGCATTTACATCGGTATTGTACACTATACGGTAAGCATGCTGTATTTTCCAGAATTGTCTTCCACAGTATTCTTCAAGGGTTTAACACGACCGAATTTGTTTTTGACGTGCAGCTTAAGCACCTTAAGTTCGCATGCAGTAGGTTTGGAGAATCCAAACACGTTAGTTTCTTGTCAGTCTCAACGATGGAGTCTGTTGTATGGCATTACCTTAGGCAATATGATTTAGCTAACACACTGCAATTTTTTCGTTCGAGATTGTTAAAAGAGAAATCTAATGAAGACTAGAAGAGTGTACTTCACGCAAAACGTTAATGTTGATAATTTGGCCCGATTTGTGAAAAAAAAAATTATTTGTTCCGAGCGCCCTTTAAGCACTCAAAAGCGATTGTCTGAGGGATATATCTGAAACGCAACAGTCAGCACTATAGTTTATTATTATTCTGACACTGTGTACATTTGCAATCATTTCTCATTGTTCAAAACTGATATATCGGAAATTAATGACTATTTAGTTTATTACCGCTTGTTTGTTTTTATAAATGTCTATGGTATAACACCATAACACTGTGCAAAGTACACAGATGTATAATGCACAAAAAAACCTATATTTAGAAATACAATAAAACCAACCTAATGGACGATGAAGACTGACAAGGTACCTGTTATGGTGCTGAATGTACGAATAAAATAAGGACCCTTCGAAGTCTGTCGGGTGTAGCATTGCTTTTCGCAACGCAGCTATCAAAATAAAATGCCCTTTACTTTAACCGTACGTAGAAAGGAGATGGATAACCAAGTAAAGCCATATACAAAAGAATTGGCTTTATCATCCAGCTGGTTCGATAAATTTATGTTGGAGTTCAACCGAGAGCTCAATATATTTAAAGAACGGACCAGCTCTCAACAAATGAGTAAAGGGCCTACATGAACTAACTCCCATAGCCTATTAATAAGCTGATGGCAAACATTTATGTTTTTTGAACTGCGTTAATTTGCCTTTAATTCTAAATAGTTTGAAACCCAATATTGACGAAATATAGGACTGCGTCTTCTGCTTTTTAAAACTATTTAGATTCATTTTTTTTATCCAAAGCAGCTCAACTCCATCCCATTTTAGTGCACTTTGATTTTTATAAGTTTTTTTTTGGGGGCTTTTACGCTTCTTGTACTTATAACACATATTTTTTATTCGTAGGAAGCTAAGAACGTCACTAACCGTTCGCGCCGTATAAAGGAGCACGTTGCATGTAACGAACTTAGCCCATCATCCATTTCTGGCCTATCTAGACAGCCATCATGTGCCAAATCTCCGCAGACCAAAATAACAGAGAATACGACCATATCAGAGATGAAAAAAACTTTTGCAGAAAAAACTATTGGTATGTATAATTTTGTCTTCTGTATGTATAAGACTACCAACTTTTTTTTTAGTACTAATTGAGTCAATTGCCTTTGAAGCATTGTACGTTTGTTAAGTATGTGAGACCACATGAGCAGGGTATTTTTCTACAAATTTTTCTGAGGTCCCATCCCTAAACAACCCTGTAAGCTGAATCATTATCTAACGCTACAAAGCATCTTCACATAACGTTATTAATGAATACCTAATGAAAATGATTTGAGATGTCTTATTGAATGAAAAATATAAAGTCTGTACATGTTTAAGTATAAACAGGGCAGAAATTGAAGCAAACTTCTTGCAAAGATTAAAATATTTCACTCTATCGGTTTATTTTTTTGTATTTGTATTTTTAGTATTTGTAGGGTCCTACTTGTAGTACTTACATGACGAGCACGATACATTGTGTAGGCTGTGTTCTTAACCACACGAATACGTGGGAATCGTACCGTTGCTTTTTTCCTAATCACAGGAATACACGGGAATCGTCCTTCTGCTGTTTTCTTAATTACACGAATACAAGGGAATCGTACTTCAAAATATTTAAACATTCGTACTCTATTCATGCTTTTACCTTTAATTTTTAACAGATGGTAACAATACTGAAATGAAACAAATGAAATTTAGCACCATAAAACACTCTTTTCTTTACCAACCCCCAGTCTTAAACGGAAAGTGGGAGCACAATGCACACGAAAAACTGGTGAGGCGCAGCGTTTGGCAGGTACTATGTATTCCTAAAACCAGGCTTGAAGACTACTATGCAACATGACGTACAGAAGCTTTGTGTACTATAAAACAAAAAAAATCCAAAGTTATAGAATCGTTTTTTAAACATGTAAACCCCCAAACAGTGTTCAAAGAGAACAGTAACAGTACTACTCTTGCAGGTTTTTACGATTCGCCATTAAGGTTTCAAGAAACCAGTTTTCTTTGAACGAAACTGAATGGCCGAGGTTTGAACATTTTGCATGTGCTAGGTCGGCATGCATAACTCTTCTAGTACAGGGCTGAGTGACTTCTTGTGAGCACTCTGTATGTTTATAAAAGAGATCAGAACTCTTGTCGCTCTCATGCTATAATTTACGCAGATATGTGAAGTCACTCAGGTAAGAGATTCATGGTTATCATAAAATAATTCTTGTTCTTGTGTTTGTGATCATTAAGAGCGAAATCCCCGGGTAACGTACGTTGTATCACGCCAATATGATGCTGATGGACATCATACAAAAATACAAACTGGAAAGCAACAACAGGAACCTAGCCAGGATTATATGGGCGAAATAAACAACGCTTCAGTTGGGAATAATGAAGCCACAGGGGATTTGCAAACCTGTATAGCGGAAACCGGCGAGTCGACGGTTGTTGATAATACAACTTTTGTCCTCGGATCACGCAAAAGAAAAGGTACTTGAGTGCGTCTGATATAAATATATTTCACTCGATATAACAATACGTGCTATTGGAGGTATGATATTCAAAGAACGAAATCTCTTGGTTTAATAGCAGTGCCTCCTCAAACGCTGTACTTTAGCACGTTTCAAAAGTCAGGTTTATTTTCGTTTTTCAGAAATTATTTAAGAGACTTCTTTCGCATTATTGCAATTCGGATTTTTCCTGATTTTTTAGAAAGAAAATATTACCACAGTGGCAGTTAAAAAAAAAACTCCATATTTCAAAATTGAACATATTTAAACTTTTGAGAAGTTTATAACATTAGTAGGGTTTTACACGCGTCATGCTGGTTTTTCTCGTACGCTTTACATGGCATTCCCAGTCTGTTTAAAGGTGAAAACCATAATCAGTCCCCAATTTTACTAAATAAAATAAAAAGATCTTATTTAGTATATACCACGGACTTATGTTCGCAGCCATGGTTTTGGTTGCCTTAATATGTACTTCAATGTAGAACAAGAACTCCATTTATTCGCCATTCATTCGGATCTCCTTTCTCGGAAATTTAAAACTATGCTATAAATATGTTATTAAGATAACCTATTTTGTGCAAGTCATAATACAGTAAATAATTTGAACTACGGCTAAAAATCAGTTAATCTAGTAAGACAAAAAATATGGAGTAACAAGCTGTAATGTTTTTTTACGTACGCTTTAGTTGAATCCCCTGTAGCTAAACGATCTCGCTGTCAGTTACCAGCGGATAATAATCCTGAAAACGTCGCCGTGAAAACAAGTTGGCCCTCTACACGCAGCGCTTCGCCCACAAAAGGAAACTCACACTCGAAAGAGTGTAATATTTCTGCAGATAACAGTTCCGTTCTACTGTGTCCTGCCCAAGTCATTCTGACGAGCGATGCGGAGTCGCGTAGAAACCGCAGCTCCCGCCGCACCTCAGCGATCGTAAGCTACGTAGAGCCATCGTTGAGAGTTAAGATGCGTCGAAACTGAAGAAGGCGTTCTATTACATAACGTGACATGGACATAAATGCCAGTAGTCAAATAGGCTTATTATTAAGATAGACATTGTTGTGATGTTCAAAATGCGATTTTATCCGACGCTAAGCAGAGGTAAAGGTGGACATGTATATCTAATTAATTTAGGATTTTGAAACCTGCTGATATGAGGAAGCATGTTGCACCTCTTTCTGTAGGGAATGTTTGTTCCTTGTTAAATACAATGTGCCTGAACCTTTAAGGTGCTTGTATCATCACTAGTGACTAATGAACCATAGTTATCCCGGCATAACAAAAGAATCAATAAATAACAAAAATTAATTACGCTCGAATCCAGGGCAGAGGAAAATATACAAATTTGTAAAGCTAAGGAAAAGCACTTTATTCCGCATTACCTATTGCATGTACATTTTTTTCTTTGTTCTCCCTTTCCCACCTAATATGACTGGCAGGCTTAACATGCATATTAAAATGTGCATGAAGATATTAATAGAGATAATCGCTGAAAGCTCTCGATGCCAAGCTTGTATTAAAATGGGCGTGAGAAATAAACACACGGAAAAAAAATAGAAAGGTGATTTGTGTGCCCATTTATTCGCATATCAGAAATTTCGGAGACAGTTGTGGCACTAGCTGTTCATTCGCAGTGGATGAATATATATATGTGCGTATATGTAAGCGTTTTCTGTCAATGCTTTTAAAAAATTCAGCTAAACCGACACTGCGGTCATTAAAGTTATAGTATTAAAGTTAATAATAATATGTTAAACTTACGGGTTTGTAAATACAGTCTAAATTTACTGCATGAAAACGCAACATTGATAAAAAAAAGGTTATAATCCGTGCTCCTAGTGCAAATATGCATATCTATGATCATTTATTGATATTTACAGTTTTTCTTAGGAGCGGGGTGGTAAAAATGTTTAAGTGGCTAAAGTCGAACAGATTAACGATATGTTTGCGTAGACAGTATGCTAAGTATACTAAGAAAGCGATAGTGGCATAAATTTATCATGGAAAGCTTCATTAGACAATTAAGTTGAAACTGTGCATAGTCTTTCCGCGTTACACAAAATTAATTAATAAAAATCATGTGGATCGAGATTGAAACGAAGATATATATCTTCATCGTGTCTTCGTATATATATGCATATAGAGATGTATATGTATACAAGATAAGTTTAAGTCCCAGGAAAGTTGAAGTGCGTAAGCACCATTAACTGTACATATATAGCAACGAAATGCGGATATGAGTATGCACCTAATACAATTTTTCATCTTTCTAGAACATTTACATAGTTGAAGTATACATTATTGTAGCTATCGCATTTTAGATATATGCTACGCCATTATATTAGAATTATAACGATACATAAATGTTACTGCGGTGTTTAGCAAATGTGGCGCACAATTACATTCGCTTGCTATTTGAATAATTTGTGTATCTCTTGCTACCTTAATAGATAAGATATGAAGACCCATTAACTGTCTAACGCATATAATGTTAGAATAACGTCATCTATATATATATATATATATATACAAATATACAAGCCTGTTGTACACTCGTTAAAAGAGATTATAAGACACTGCTTGGTATCCCAAAATATCGACGTCAAGTCTACGGCAAGATGTGGATTTCGTTTTTCGAAGGCAGTGTTGCAATCCATCGTAGGTTAATGAAAACACTGGACAACAAGCCCTTAAGCAAAACAATAATGTGAGAACTGGTTCAAATTTATAGGTTGAGAACTGCGAAAGAGGTGATTGTATTACGGGGCCTCGAATGAATAACGAGTTTAAATGATCACAGAACCTTCCCGTCTATTGCAACGGTGCGCTTCAGATGAGTTTTTTGCTAGTAACAGTTGCGCGAATCATCATTGGACTACACCATTGGTGTTTCGACCTGTACTAAACTCAATTCGTGAGGAACCCGTGTTTTTATTCTTTATATTCAGTGCCTTCGTCACAATTTAATATAGGTTTCGAGGAATGTCAGATTAATACGACGGAGAAAGGATTATACATACTATTTACTCAAAAGTTGTGATCAGAATTACTTGTTCTTTCGTTTGAGGTTTTTAAGTACAGTCACTTTCTCTTCGGCCTTCAACACTTAATTTTTTATTCTTAACATGACCGTACCAGTAACTAGCTGCTTTTCACCTGCAGACCTCCTTGCCCAGTGTAATCACCCATTTGCGATGAATTTCAACAGCATTCTTACCCCCGAGACACAAACATAGTAGCTAATCGTTGACTTTTAACAATAAACCATATATTTGCCTGACAGATTATTATTTTTTGGTGATATCCAGTGAGTTCACATTCGAAGTATAGCTAAAAACCTGCTGTAAATATTTACCAAATTTCATCTGCTAATGTTGCCCGACTTATGAGTTATTCAAAAAATATTAAGCTGCTGCAGCTATACCTGGCAGACCTTCCAACTGAATAACATTTAAACACCGAGTCTTTAAGAGAGAAAATTTTGAGCGTAAATACTTTAGTTTTTTAGAAACTTGATAGTGAGAACCGTTTCGACGCGGATATAGGTGTTTTGTCTGAATACACATATTCAGAATACAGATATTCAGATATATATGTATATATAGAGTGTGAAACTCCCGCGTTTTTTATTCTTTTCTTTTTTCTGTTGTTGACTGTTGAAAACGTTTTCCCTGCTCTATCAATGAGTTATTACGCTATTGTGTTGTGTGTGCAATTTTATTTTGAGATAACTTAGAAATTAGTGTTTCAGGTTGAAAAAAATGCACGTTTCATACTTTCTGTGCTATACATTTCGTCGAGGCCAAAACGCTGCTGAAACAGCTCAGGATATATGGCGTGGGTGTGGTCATGGCTCAAATGCAAATGTCAAATGCAGGTTGCTCAAGAGTAGTTTGCCAAACTTGAAAACGGTATTCGGAACTTATAATAGGTTCACTTTGACATCGTCTGAGTTTGAGGGAAAATGGCTGGCAGTCAACTAGGGAATTGTCCAAAAAGATGAGCTGCAGCCACACGAACGTCGTTAATTGCCTCAAATCCCTTCGGGCTATACAGGAACTTGAGCTTGGGTACTTTATGAAATCTCTAAATCCAACAAAGAATAACAACTTAAAGCTGCATCTCGACGGATCTCGCCCGTTTTTGAATGTTACACGGCAACAATGACTGATTTTCGCACAGAATTGTCACCGGGAATGTCTGTACGTCGGCATGGACCAAATGTCGGAAAGGATGGATCCGGAAAAAAAGCTAAAGGCTTAGGTCACCTCAGATCTTCATTTAACAAAAAGCTAACCTTTGCGTTTGGTATGACTGCAAAGGCCTGATCCACTTAGAATTGCTTCGCACGAACTAGACAGCTGATCGACGCGTTTATCTAACCCAGTTGCATCGAATGAACCGAACTTTTCAACAGAAAGGATCCGCTAAACGAGGTTAAATGATCCTCTGTATGACAACGCGAAACCGTACATAGAAAACGCTGTCAAAACTGCCCTTCTGGACTTTGAATAAAAGATTTTGTTGCACACTTCATATTTTTCGGATTTAATAACGATAGATGTTCGCCTTTTCATTCATCGGGCCACTTTCCTCCTCGAGACAAATCCTGCTACTTTAGGAGATTTATTTATTATTTATTATACTATAGGAACCACTTTAGAGGCTGCATAAAAATGGGAGAAAATCATGGATAATGACGTGGAATATGTAATACAATAACTTCTCGAGGGAATAAAAGATGGGCTGTTTTGTACTCTGTAGAAAAAGCGCAGTAATTTTCTTTTAAACGTTATATATATATTTATATATGACAGAAAGAGAGAGAGAGAGGGGAAGTGTATCTGTGTGTGTATGTCTGTATGAGAGAGAGAGGGAGAGAGAACGAGAGAGAAACGTCAGTATGATAAAATCAGTGCGGCGACCGATACCCTTTAGCATTTAAGAATTTTACTTACACTGTTTTGAACACCATGCACTTTGTTCAGAAAATGTTGCAGAAGAATCATGTATTAACATTCTGTTTATATACTTTGGGCACAAATACCTAACAAAATGTCTTGTAATACTTGAGATATAAGGAGAAGTAGCCAATATTTAAGAGTACACACATTCGTGCGAAATAAAGCAAATAACACAGTGGGAAAGCCAATTGGTTGGTAGTTTAAGAACAATGACGGCAGTGACCTCTCTAGCCGTAGTCGAATCCCTGCTGGAATACTTTAAAATAATTATGGAGGGAAGGCTGCGGTGTGTACGCTGCTTTAGGTAGTTCAATACGTATCATAAAACAGGTGCATACGATTTTAAGCGCTAGGGTATTTCTTCAATTTTTATTGATCTCTCATTTAAACCAAGTTGCGCGTACCTTTCGTGCATACAAATATATATCCATTAGCTATTTATCTATAAGCAAGTAGAGTAAATAGAGGACCAAAGTTGGTTTTCTTTGAAGTTACAACAATAGTCATTCAAAAGATACTATATATTGGTTCTCACTGTGATATGTACATCAGGACTGAATTTGAAAGAGCAACCTTTATATATGTAGTTATCGTAGTAACGATGCGTTTTATATGGGTGTTCGCCAGCTGCCCCTATGAAATAATTACAATGTGTGCAGAATAACTGTTCTGCTAAATGGTTCGCCGCAAAGGAATAAGAATTGATACATTGAAGCATTAAAGAAATGAGTACATAAAATACATTCATCGTAACTGTAAAAAATGCTCCACGCCAGACTAAATCAGGATGAACTCAAGGTCATCCTCTGTCTGCTTCTATCCGCTATCTAATAGTGTCGCTAGATGAAATCAACTAAATAGATATTGCATCTTTTATCAAATTATGCTTAGCCAACAACGTGTAGTAAAAACAATTACTACCTTCTCGACAACCGCAAATAACGGATTCAAAGACCTTTTTTTCTTATTACTTTTCAAGTGCTGCGCACTAAATTTGTTCAAGCATCTAAACGCATTTGCTGCGTGTAAGCCGCAACTAGCCTGCACCTTGCATAGGCTAAATTAAGTAAAAAAGAATGGCAAAGTTGAGAGAAGAAGTTTACTTTGGTAATGATGAATTTCGGCACGAAATTAAAAGAACTGAAGAACAAGAGGCAATGCGAAAGTTATTAAAAAATTAAATTGGACACTTCATGCTTTTAACATGCAATTTTTAAGCCTAGTGAATAATTGCTGATGACACCATACAAATTACCATACAAATTTATCTACTGAATTTAAAATGAACAGCCAGATTTATTGTGAAACAGTATTTCATTTTATTTTATTGTAGATTAGTACAAACAAAATCTTGTTTTCTATCAAAGTTTAGTGTTATGAAGACAGAGTATAGATCATTATAGATCATATGCCAATATTTATTGTTTGATCTTATAGAAATTTTTATATTAGGTATATTTATTTGCATACTAAGGAGATTATCTAAAATTATTAAAATGACTGCCTTAAAAGATAACTATGTACAAGATTTACGTTATACTGAACAACTTCCGACCTGAGATTAACTCATAATAGCGTCGTACTGGAGGCCGATCTTTCTAGTTTATTAGTTTTTTGGCAAAAACAGCAATAATAATTACTTCTGCGCTGACTTGTTTAGATATAACATTTATTTATGGAATTACAAAGGTGCTAACTGGTATTTTTGGTATTTTTGGTATTTTTGAATTTATAGCAGATTAATTGGAAGCTCATGTATATATATATATATATCAACCATCATTAGCTCTTGGTCCTTCCCTCTTATTTCTATCGCTTCATGTAGTATATATCGTGAGTGATCCTTACAACGGGAGGGGGGGGGGTAAGTTGTAATGTCTTATAACCTTCATCGCTTATTGCTTATATTTTCAAGCATTGGAACCAGTTGCGAGTTTGCTTATTCTGAGTTAATGCTGTTGTTAGCAGATGTTTGCTGAAAATGTGCTATGGAGTAATTATCCCATCCGTTCAGATAATGTTTGACGGAGTCGTTCAATTGTTTGCAACTTTCGAAAAGCGCATACTGCAAAAATAGCCATACCAAATTATATATAATGATATATAGGTTATGCTACCGCTTGCGTTATAACCATCTCACGTCTCATGACACTAGCCAAGACTGTAATTTTGGAAAGCAATTAATTATTTTCTTTAAATTTAAAGCTTGTATCTTCGGAGCAAAAAATCCATTTTACTTTTGCACTTGGTGTTTTGCTTATTTTGCATCGGCATCTAAAAGCAGTTTTCCTCAGAAGATGCTCTTAGTCTTATTTAGATCTTGGGTTCTAGCCGGGGGACGCGTTCATGGAAGTATGGTGCGTATCTAGCGAATACTTTATAATGGATATCGCATTCTGTTTGACTGGAAGTTCTCAAAAATTCGGTCGACGCGTTTGCTGACTTCAAGCACTACAGCTGTTACGTATCCGGAGCATTTCAAGTTTTCAAGTTAAAACCCAAAGGCTTCGGAAAACAGATAGAGGGTGGATGCATGTTTCAGATTGAAAAATACGTCACGGGCGCTTGTTTTTAAGGTTTATTTTCCATATTTGTTTTTTTAGGCCTCCGCTTTTTACTTCTATATACCACTCGAAAGTGCCCTCTCTTCCTTATAAGTCGGTCATTTTATTGCATAGGGAACGGAATTTAATGTCAGGTTTAGGCTCCAAAGATGGAAATTTTGAATTAAAAGGAGCGTATTTTCGAAACCTACGCTATTTTGTCCATTGTGAAGGCCAAAAAAATATATGGTAAGTTTCTGCGCTAAAAAAAAATAAAGATATATCATTTTCCTTCACTAGTTTTTTACATCTGATATGTCGTCCGAAAACACTTTTCTTGCTCTATCAGCGTGGCGCTTCTGCGTCACGTTGTGAGGGTAATTTCAATTCGAAAGAACTCCTCAAAGAAAGATATTTAAAATGAAAACAATGAACTTCTGATATCTTTTGTACTATGCATTTCATCGAGAGAAGAACCCTGCCGAAACGATCAGGACATTTGAGTTGTATACGATAATGAGGCTATAGTTAAAAATACTGCTCAAAAATGGTTTACCAAATTTGAGAAGGTATCCAAGACCTGAATGATATTTTTCGCTTAGACTGACTGTCTGTGTTTGGTGCCGCTAGAGACGCTTTTGACCGAAGATGGCTGCCAGACAGCTTGGGAATGTGACAAAAAAGTGGGCTGTAGCCACACGGTCGTTATTATACACATACAAATACTTGGAATATACTTAATGAATCCAACAAGGACTTGCGGCTTAAGGCAACATCTCAATATATCGCCCCATATCAAGTGTGACATGGTTACAATGATCGATTCTTACACAGAATTGTTATTGGCGATGTCTGTACGTCAACAGAAATTAAGGATCGGAATGAGTGGCTACAGGAGACAAGTGAAGGGGCAAAGAAGCTTAGATTTTTATTCAAAAAGTTATGCTTTGCGTTTGATTGGACTACGAAAGCTTAATTCACTGAGGTTGCTTCCTACGTCCCAGGTAGTTCATCGGCATGTTTTCACTTAGTTGCATCAAGTCAAATAACCTATTTAGAAGAAAAGACACGACAAACAAGGTTAGGTCATGTTTCAAAACCACGCGAGCCGACACACGGCAAGCGTCGTCAAAGCTGCCCTCCTAGGCCTTGAATGGGAAGTTTTGTTGCACTTACCACATCCGCCGAACCGCTTTCTGATGGATCTTCTCCTTTTTTTGTTCGCTGAATAACCACATTCACCGTATAACCCTTAACGTTGGGAACTCAACATGTAATTGCACACACATTTTTTTTAGAAAATAAGAAAAAGTCATGAACAGTGACTGAGGTACATACTTTGCATATGAGGGACTTTTTTGCCCTTGGTGATTAAGGGTTCTGCTGGCGAAATCTAGGACAGAATTATATCCCAAATACTAAAAATAAGGAAACTGAACAAAAAATGGGTTACCTATGAGTTGAACCAAGGCCAGTTGGAAATGCATGTAATATATTCCATGTTTGCGTCACTTCAATCAACAAAAAACCGCTTGAAGCGTGGTTCAATATTTAACACCGGCCGGAGAGAGTGAGAGAGAAAACGAAATAATAGCTTTACCCTGGAGAATTCTGTGGTAATGTCTTGGTAATAGTAGTAGTTACAATGGACCTCAAGGGCATTTGCTATTAAAAGATACTCGCCGAAAATGACACAATAATGACGGCCTGCTATATAGAGTTCCCACGAAACTCATGGATATTTCGTACGATAGTCGACAGCACACAGTGTGATTACTTGATGACAACGCTAGTCATCGGCACACCTCAACTACTTCCTGTATTGCGCAAAGGAATATTTGACGTTGGCTTCAATGCGCATATTCTCCCGATTTAAGCGCTTGATTATCGAACTTAACATGCCATAAAGAGAGCAACTTTTGGGCAAGAATATGTTAATACTGATTTACTTCGAGAAGCTATATGCAGGTACATGTAGGAACGCTAAATATAAGTTTATAGCTACCCAGAAGCTGCCAAGCTACGTGGTAAGTAGTTAAGGAAAGTACTTCCAACATGTATTAAAAAAATCGTTTTACCATGTTGTATCCTGATTCTTTGTTGTAAATGAATACAAGATTTTTGCTAAGGAATTAATTACTTTGAATCGACCGATACGGTGACAGGATTACTCTAATATTAGCTATTATTAATAATTTTAATTAAGAGAGTAATGTTACATTTTACCAGATTATTGGAAAAAAAGGTACGTGTTGGGTTTAAATGGAGCGTAGGGAAGCATTTTACGGTACTTTATTATGTATTATAAATTGTATGGGAATACAGAATTGTTTTGTGAAAAATTACCTTTATTTTCTGATTCTTAATTTTTGCACACTGCGAATTCACTTTTGTTATTAAGGCCCGCTAACAAAACTAAAAGGTTTTCCCACTATCACGAAGCTCTCCGAAAAGATATATAAGATCTCGGTGTTGTCCCTCGATGAGTTGTTTTTGGTAAGATTATTATAATAATATAATAATTTCCGAAATCCCCAATAGTTGCTTGACAATAACTGGATATGTTTGTTTTTGTTTTAAGTAATTTTATGGACTTCTTATCGGTTGTGATCGGTAAATCTTGCATATGTAATGTTTCCTCATATTAGTGCTCGTTTTCACTATTTGTAGCTTTGGTTAGTTCAGCTTTATTACCCAATATATATATTACCCATAATTTTCTTGATAAGCGATGTACCTACTCCACCTTTCCTTTGGTTATTTGGTTTTCATTTTTGTTTGCGACCGAATGCTTCTAGACTGAAATAACTGATGAGTAATTTCGAGATGAACATGGCTTTTCTTAGAGCGTTCTCTGATTGCATACTACACAACAGCTTTTCTCTTTATGCATCTCTGTTTCTACTCAGTTAATAGATGTTCTCATTTTCTAACTTATTGACGCACTTCGGTAATTCCTTGGTTTCTTATCGAATTTCTCGAAGTATTTTATGAATACTCGATAATACGCTCCTCCAACTGGTTCATCTACATCATCAACGTCACTTATTTCCATCCATTCTCACGGCCATTAAGGTTTCACGATAGTAAATGTATGATAATGTCAACCTTTTGCACCGCAAATTTGTCAATTTAGAACGTATCATTATACTAGTGCCACCGTACTTCACAATGATGTCTTTCCAATGTATGTATGCAGTTTTGGCAAACTGTCATTGGTTTTTACCATTATCGTTGCCACCATTGCGCTTGAATTTTACAAGATTGTAATTACGATGGTTACCACTTTTCTAGTAAATTTTGCTTGTAGAACTTGTAGAAACTTCAGATACTCTTTCAGAACCTTGCAACCACATGAACTCTTGCAAGCGATTTGCTGATTGGTTGCGTCTAGTTTGAGATACGATCCCATAATAGAGGTTTGTTATATATGAATAGACCATGCAGGTACTTGGACACGTATTTTGTGATTCTGAGGTGGTGAAGAGGTTAATGCATTTTTTTCAAACCTAAATCGTATTTAGAATACTTTAGAAGAGTGATATAATGAACCCATACGTTTTGCTGATACAGTCTACGCTTAGAATCTCTTTGTCTTTAAAATGGATAACCATATGAATTCGGAAAAGGGCAATGTAGTGTATAGCAGCATCTGTGTATATTAAAAACTTTTCCCGGTAGTCTCTTCAACGCAGTAAAAAGGATGAGACACATTTTTTTTAAAATTCAAAGATTGTTGCATTAAGCCTTTTATTCTATTTTTATGATTTTGAGCTAGTCTTATGAATATAGTACATCTAATGCGTGCTTGCATTGCGTTCGAGAACTGTCTGTGTGTTTCGTTATGCATCGCACCTCTATCGATTGGCTGAGTTTTTTCATGAAGTTCATGCATTAGGGGTCTAGCTACAAAAAACATCTCCCCTAAAGCGCCAAAACTACATTGCCACTAAAACAACTAAACATCCAGACATGCAACTGTAGGTCCAAATAGTATATTTTTTGCGGGGCCCATGTGAATATTTAGGATTGGTTTACAACCGTGGATTACCGGTTCCTTGTTCGCACTGAGTATTTGATCTGACTGTGTGACATACCTGCTTAAAAAAGTTGCAGCTAAGGTTAAGTTTACAACGTCCTTTTTGTATCATTAACAGCCATCTATAATTTGGTAAGTAAGCTTAAATAAGACTATAGTAATACTGGTCATGAATTTATGTCCGAGCTGACAAAAGAATTCTGTCACAGAAAATGTACATTCATAGAGCAATGTCTTAAGCGGGTAAAAATGATCTGAATGGAAAAAAATATGGTGGCCACTGGACAAACTTAACTTCGTAGTTTGTCATTTTCGTAGTATACATCTAGTGCAAGTTGAATGGAAGTGTTTCTTCAGTTGCAGATTGAATAAATAAACAGTGATAGTTTTTTAAGGCACGTATTTTGATTATGAATAATAATTCAGTACTTCATCCAGTTGCTCCATAATATTCTGTTTATTACAATTAGTTTTAGACTTGCTTTTACGTACTAGAACTATTTGCCACTGTAAAATGGTAAAAGTGAATAATACGAAATCAATATAATATCCCACATACTAAAAATATGAGAAGATTTTTATAAATTGGCCCACTCTCTATTATTTCACTTTCTTAATTAGTGGGTTATCTCCGTACATCATATAAGTGAAATGTCTGCATCAGTTGACTGATGTTAGTGCTTAATTAGGCGTTACTCCAGCGATATTGAAATACACCCGCTAAAGACATAATCCATTTTCAATATAAGATCATAAATCATATGGTTGTGGGAATTTGCAAAAAATAGGCACCTGACACATTTCAGGCCACGTAGAACGGCCGCATCTAAACGTGAGCTAAATCATATCAGTCGAAGTATCGTACGTTCTGTGCACACTGATAATACCAAGATGATTACAACATTGGAATCGCGTCAACGAAGTAATGAAAAAATTGTTCTTTCTCTAAACAATCTATTTAGAGTTGATCTTCAATCTTTAATTTATTAGAATAACCATGTTTATTAATATATACTTTATCAAGTACAGTTGAGCCTATTCCGCCCACTGGACTTTTCATACGCTAACGTTCTTCTATACAAGCTAAAACCTACATTCTGATCCTATTTTTAAAAGACAATTCCACCAGCTATTCTTTCAAGAATCTATTTCATTCCTATTTACATCTAGCTTTATGAATAGGACTAGCATCTATGCAGCTATTTACATTTGCGATTAGGCTTTTCTAGAAGTTTCTTAAACATTCTATTTTTTGGTTAAAACTGCCCGGACTTTATAATTAAATTAATTGGCAAAGTATTTTTTCTGAGGAATTAATTCATGGTGATAATAATATCAAAAATTTTGTCCATTTTGTATCCTTTTTCTCAGGTGATACTTATTTTCGTCTGTTCATTTTAATATTTTGAATAGGAGGCTCCCTATTTATCAAACGTTGTCTTCTCCAAATCGAGCTGGTAGACTTTGCACTGTAAGGTAGTAGCTATCACAAATACTCCGACTCTGCGAACGGAATGAAATTGCGTCCGGTGAAGGTTGATCCGAAACTGTGTTCCATTGCGTTAACTGGGGAAGCGATCCGCAGCGCCTGTAAACAAATAAAAGAGAAAATATAATGATTCTATTGAATCTATTGGTTGCAAGTTACTTTCTTACGGCAATAATAGTTAATGAGAACAAAGAAGGAAGCTTGAAATATTTGTATCTAAACAGCCCATGGCTGACATGGGCTGACAGTCACGAAGCTGACTTCGATCAGTCGATGATTTAAGAAAAATAATTATAGCAGACCTCCATATGACAACCAACTATGTAACCCTTTGTCGCGGCTGCAAGTGCAATATACGATCTCTTTCGTTCATTGACTAAGCATTATGTTTTACGTTAGCGGCTTTAAAGAAAAGGATAGTTTTTAGGCGCAATAATATACTGGCAATGTTATGTACAGTCCACTAGCAGTTTGGTTCACATCTATCTGACGCTGAATCACCCTAGCAAGTTACTTTACATAACTTCACATAATCTAATATTGCGTATGCAGCAGCGATCGGTTGGTAAATACGGAATTGAGAACTAGGGGAAATTGGTACGAGTTGAAACATGTTTTTAAATGAGGGTCCGTGCGGGTGCAGTGCAGTGTATGCATATATCTGAAGAGATGACAATATATCTGAAAATGCATATGTGATATTGCCTGTCTAAATTGAGTATTAAACACGCGAAACAAGAAACGTGTACTTATTCTTTAAAAACACTCAAAAATCATACTCAGTTGAAAACTGCAAAATAAATAGGCGTATGACATACTACCAGCGGGTTTAACAACTACACTGTCCAAACTCTCCGGACAATAAATCAATCATCACAGATTATTGATATTGCTATGTGACCGAAACATGAATAGACATCGTGAATAATTATCTGAAGAATTCTCATGCTGGTGAGACTTCATGCTTTATATGTTCAGTGTGACCTCTGCCTTATACGTTCACTGTTATCGGCTTCATAAGTGATTTACCTAACGGAATGCTCATGCCCAGGTATGCAATCGTCCAAACGAATTCGCTGTTTTCTTCCCATTATCATACAAGGTGACCTTTCACTTTCTTTCAAGAGTCGCAGGTCGTTTAGTTGAAGCATGTAATGATATTAAAATCAACCACTATCCTTTTTAGCTGTTGTCCTACTTGATAGAGGGGGCATAATGTAACTTCCATGTGACGAAAATATTAACAGTTAGATGTAAGGTACTAGACTGGATTTTTTAACAATCGGGGCTCCACATAGCTTGCATTGAGCCTCCTGCCCTTGTGGATCCTTGGGGCAGTGCTAAACACCTAAAGTAAGGCATGTTGTAGGAAGAATCAAAAAGGGCATGATAACTTGATCAATTTAGACGTTTTTAATTATTGTAGACAGGTGCCAATAAATATTTAAGTTTTCAGCTGTTTATCTGAATATGAATAGTACTATATTTTTAAAGTGTACAAATGTAACCTATTGCTATTAAAAGCTCCGCTCCATCAGGCTAATTGTGCGTAGAGGCAGTTACTATGACAACAGCTGTCGTAAGACCTTTGCCGAGCGTCGCTCTCAGAATGTATTTTTAATGAGCTTTGTAAGATCTTTGCGAAAACAAAAGGAACCGAAAGCTTCAATTGCATCGTCCCTTTGCATCAATACAAATAAAACTGTACTGAATAGTCATATCTGCGTATTTCGGTTACTATTTAAATCGATACTCTTCGACATCGACCCCAGTCTAACTACTTTATACCACAACTACACAGCGCTGCTGCGGCACCCTGGTCCAAGTTAAACGTCGTTCGCGAAACCACCACGGCAGGATGAATATATCGGGACGCTTACTACCCTTAGATTCTAGCCCTTAATTTTAAGGTATCTGGTAATTCTGCTTATTGGAGTATCACTTAATGATTCATTTATATTAGCGATTTTGTTTCAGATGATTTGGGTGAAAAACGATTGTTGACAAATCGTTCGATGAAAAAGACTCAATTAATTCACAAAAGCTGCATAGTCTTATCTTTTCTCGAATTGTGTAAAAATTACCTGGTAAAATCCCTACAAAATCATAGGCTTCACTTCGGTGGTATGCGGCTTTCGGCCACCGATTTCCCAGTAATATCCTTAAGCCTTTGTGAAAATTCGTCATTCACTTTTTCGCGTAATTTCGGGTCTCTCCGCATCCAGATCTTGACTCTGCTTGTTGCTCTGTAGCTGTAGCTGTCGACTGTTCTAGGGTGCCCTTCCGCTGTTTAACGTAAGAATCCTCTTGCCCCAAATAAAGACTTTCTCCCGTACTATTAACGTCTTTCTTTTTCAGGTACAGTTGTCGTCACAAGTTGTGGCCTTTGTGCACTCCATTTCTTGCATCGAACGTGTTACATTAGTTTCGTTCTTTTTCCTTGAGTTCTTCATCATATATCTATTTTTCTAGTTTCACCTCCCGGTATCGCCATCAGGCATTTCACCAGGCGGCTAGCTCGCAGCACGAAACGAAGTGTATCCGAACACGGAGCCAAAACTACAATGTGTCCTAACATTAGCAGACAAATGCGTTACGCACTGAGCCATCACAGGGGCGCGTTCTTGACCATCTCCCTAACGTGTAGTAAATTCCATTTCCCGCCGTGCATTTTTGCATCTACGTCACACCCGTGATATTAAGAACATTGCGCTCGATTTGTATTGCAAGTAAAAGGTATGTGATGCTGTCGATCTTTTCTGAGACATAATTAGACCCCTTTAAGTTTAAGACGAGTTCAATCTACTAGGGGTCCACGGTTGGATACGGCGTTGCTAGGCGCTCAGTTACTTTAAGCAACCTGTATAGACTATTTTGCCAAATAAACTAAACAAATTATTAATATTTATTTGTCTATAAGGCTTTATTATTTTAAATTAACATATTTTCAGATGCATCGTGTATTAATCTCTTTAACGACTGGACCGATGCCACGTCCCTGACCTTCGTTGAAGCCGCTACTCATATATCACTTGCCACATATTCTATTTTGCCACTCATAGCTCTAATCTGTTACTCAAATAAAGTTTTACCGGCGCAGAGGAAAGTGAGTATGATAAAAATATTAAAGACAAACTTTACTGAGAACTATACGTTTTTCACTCAGTGGCTCCATAGATAGTGCATAAAATATATGGAATAATAAAGTGTGTATAGTATGATATGCATAACAATTAACTCCGGATAACTGAAACATTTCCCCTCAAACGTAGTAATATCAATTAAGAAGCAATCTAAAATAATACATAAAGGACAAAGAGGAACATGGAAAATGATTCAGACTCCATGCGAGTCGAATAGAGCCTTAAATACTTGGTTCCTTGTATATAATTCAGACTAACTGGTTCGTTTTTTATCGGCTTTGCTATAGACCAACTAGCATGGAATTATCAACAACATATGCTACAGATGTTTTGTGTATTGCGTTTTGTTAATTTTCAGTATGATTTCTATTGTTAGAAGGACCTTGAAGGTCAATAACTGGTTTTCTAAGTATTATAATTTGATTGCAGTAGCCAAACGTCCACAACCAACAAGTCTTACGAAAAGGGTTGACTACTGAAAAATATTAGGCTTAGTGTTGAATGCAAGTGTGTTTTGTCTACCTAGTGTGCTTCGCGTACCTGATCTGTCGATTTGACTTATTGAAGATGGGTGATACCGATAAGCGGCTAAGATTGGAATTGCTTGAACGAAATGTTGCCGATCGACGAAGTATTGCGGCGATAAAGGGTGATCGTGGTGCCGATCCGGGGGGTGAAAGTTTCAAGAGATAAACTACTTGCTTACGAAGATTGCGATTCAGTAGACCGTATAACATTGGATTGAGTACGTAGCCCATAAACGACACCCAGAGACAAGCGATTCCTGTATATAGATTAAACATATTTGTTATACCGTAGTAACTCCGTAGATCGCTCTCTCTTGAACGCGGCTATTAATGGCTCCGCTGAACACTCATTTATGCTGACATCAGTAGACGATTATAACTTACTATAACTAACTGGCGAATCCAAATGTTCGTCCTGATGCTTGTAGTAGGTCGTGATATATATGAGCTGCACTAGGGTTTCGGGCATAATAAAGCTAACAAAAACTGTTGCTGCTAGAAGTAATGTCTTTGCTGCTTTGGAAAAAATCGGCCGACGAGTAGCTTGTGGACAATTGGGTATCGGGATAAGTGCTCGTCTTGCCATTTCACAACGCTCGACACGTCGGGCAACACGGTACACTAGCATATGGATGCCTAAAATACCTGCAAATAGCTCGAAAAAACAAATACGGCTAAACGCAGTTAATCAAATTATTAATTTACGGTGTCTTACCATTTTTTATGTGCTTTTTGTGTTTATATTATTGAGTCGAACAAACCGCAAACAAATGAATATTAGCTTTGTGTAGTGTACACTAAGTACAGTGTGTGGCAACCATATTAATACAATTTTAAAGATTAAATTCTCGCCATAAAATAATAAATTAACACAGTCGAGAAATCTTATTGTAACAAAATAGGTTCCTCACCAAAACCCAACTGAAAGTCTTCGCACTGAAACAATACATTTTACTGGAAAGATTCGTTAATGTACTAGTTCCAGTACGACGGAGAGTTAACTCTTATTCATACAAAAAAGAAAATGGATTCTGTATTATGTATACGGTGAAGGAGTAGACCATCGATGCTAGTCTTAGTTGCAACAATACATTGCGCTGCGACTATCATATAACCGATATTCAAACAGTAACTATTGATTATTTATATTTTTGTTCGTCGCGCTCAGCTATCGTTATAAGCAACAACGCTCATGCAATATTCGCGCGTTTCCTGCACGGAGTGACCTAATAATACAACGTCTTTGAGGAAACATCCCCTGATTAATCACCACCCTTACAACTGGGCGTCGTCTAAAATGGTTCTGGCGGTTTTGTACCTTTATATGCCATCGAGTATGGTTCTTGCAGTCTAAAATCTTTTCAATTTGTATCTGGCGGTTTCGTACGGTATACATTCGCCCGCTTCCCGTGTGATAGTCGTCTAATCTTTTCCCTTTGTCAAGTCCCTTTGCGATCACATCGCTTTTTGGAGCTCTGCTTCAGTGCTAGCATGTAGGCCGTTGGCTGATATGTCCAGTAACCATTATGACAAAAATAGCCTGCCTTTAAATGTTTCGAGTATTACGTTCGGCAACAAGCCAGCACGAAGCGAAGTGTGTCTATGCTACGATGTGAACCAAGATTACCACGTGTCCTTCAAGCTTGGGTTAAGTGGGTAACCTGCCTTTGGCAATGATCTTCGGTGGCTTCGAGGTTTCCAGCTCCTTTCCCTGTCATCCATGAACCCCTTTGATCGCCTCATTTATAGCTAAAGCGAGTTCTCCATTCGCTTTTTTCTCTGCCACAAAATTGCGGAAGATTAAGCCTTTGTTGAACATTAACAATACATCGGCCAACATGTAGCGCGTTTATATGCGAATTGCTTCAATCTGGTTAAATGTGTGCACAATGCCGAAACTGGGTAATTGTGGTCCACGTGGTCACCAACGCGGAAGAAAAGAAAGAAGAGAAGGCTCAGTCGCGAAGGACTAGCATTGACAGAAGGAGGCTTTACCAACGAGGGTGTACAAACTTGTGCCACATTGGGACCAAGCGGCCGTACGAGGTTGGACACCAACGCGGAAGAAAAGAAAGAAGGGAAGGCTCAGTCGCGAAGGACTAGCATTGACAGAAGGAGGCTTTACCAACGAGGGTGTACAAACTTGTGCCACATTGGGACCAAGCGGCCGTACGAGGTTGTACACCAACGCGGAAGAAAAGGAAGAAGGGAAGGCTCAGTCGCGAAGGACTAGCATTGACAGAAGGAGGCTTTACCAACGAGGGTGTACAAACTTGTGCCACATTGGGACCAAGCGACCGTACGAGGTTGTCAGATCCGAGATGTAAGACTGTATGAAGGCTAGAGCACCACGATTGTGACGACAGCGTACGGTCGTTAGGGAGGCAGGCAGCCGGAAGATGTTGCAAAAAGAATGCAGTCGCTGGGGGAACACCAAATACTGCGTAAACGCAGCATAAATAGTATCGAGGGCCTGTAACGCACCTGTCTGAACAGCCATTAGCCGATAAATTATCAGTGCACGACCTCTATTTTATCTTCATATATTATATATATTATTATTTTTATAATATATTTATGAACCAAAACGAAAGACGCCAAGCTATCTTTACTGTCCATGTGTGCAAATACTTCAGTGTGTATGTGTATTCAATGTGTTGTTAGATTAGCCACTTCCTACTGCCTCCTCCGTATAGGCATCCGTATGTAAAGGGTAAATAAACACTTCTCTACTGAAGTAAGTCCACCATTAGTCATGTCTTTTTCCCACTCAGAAAAACGATTTGACAAAAATTGTTCGACTAATTACTGGGCAGAAAAAAATCACTGAAAGTTAATTTTAACAAAGATGTTACCTTTATCTTGAATAGCAACCAAAATACCTCGAACTGATTATGCTACCGCGACATCCGGCCTACTAACAGTATGTATCACAAAGCCTTCTGCTCTTTTTTTTGCTAGTTTTTGCTTAAAACTCTATTTCGTCTGCCCAAACCGAATCTTTTTCACATCCGTTAACGCCTCCTCAGCGTTTTCTGCAACCAATGGCCTCCTTAATGGCAGATATTGGAATACACGTTAGTGTAGCCACCACTTCCGACCCAACTATACGCCGGGACCAATATGTAAACGTGTCGTACCCGCTACAACAACAATTTTCGAGTGCTTGGAGGTCTACCCGTCTTTTCGAACTGACAGGGAATGATCGCGGCTTCAGTTTAGGCTTCCGCAACCCACATCATCGCTGTACTCGTTTTAGGTCGAAATACAAACCTCAGCCTAATGCTATTTTCCCTGTGTCGTTCCCCGAAACCAAGGGTGCTTGTCATGTGACCGCTTCGTTCACAGGAAGCGATCGTGTGAACCACTGGGTACCTTTTTTTAAAATGATGATGGAAAGGCAGCAATAGTCTATGGTGAACCCTATTGTAACATGTTGCAAGCTTTTTGTGGTTCGAAATAAGGAAAATCTGGTGCAGAGAGCTTCTGGTTTCAACAAAATGAAAACAATTCCAGACGGTGCGAGAGGCAGTCAGTCTAGTTTAAATCACGTTTCCAGACCGGCCGATCTCGGTACACAGCGGTTACACCCAGCGAGCGTCAGTAGTCCTGTAATTTGACTTCCCTTAGTTTTTCTTATAAGGCTTCTTATGAAACTCATAAAAATCAATAAAATAATTCCAAAAACAATCGACGACCCTAAACACCGTATTTGTGAAGTGATTAGTGAAATTGGCCCTGAATCGTAAAGAACTGTGACTCAAAATCTCGTAAAAAGGATCGAACTATGCCTGGTCCTTGAGAAGATATTTGGCTGACGTTCTTTTCCGTGTATAGTGCAAATCTAACCACTGAATCAAAGTAACGTAGGAATGAAAACACACATAGAGCCTTTCTTTCGTTGGAACTTCCGGGAACACTGAAATTTTTGCGACCTTATACTTTCTACCCTTTTTGAACAAATTTTTTAGAGTCCCACCAGAAATTTTCAGATCTGGTATGAAACACCTTTACGTCAAATGCACAGTTACAAATTTGAATTTTCAATTATCAAAAACGATGATACTACGCCGGCTCGAAGTTAGTAATACTGACGCAAGAGAGCTTTTAAGCCAGACTCCTAAGGCGACTTTAACAATCTTTAGAATGCGTGGCCTAACATCATCATAAAAACGCCTAGCTCATCTTTGTATACGGTCCTTTCTATTACGAAGCTTTATTTATGCGACACAACTAGGCTACGTCGAAGAAATTATTAGAACTGTGTTGTAATGATAATTTGTATTCCAAGCTCTGTGAATAAAGGCGTGAATGAATGGAAAGAACAAGTAACAGCCATGAACAATACAGCAAGCTCTTCAAATCAGAACAATCAGCCGCAGCGAACTGTTAGAATATAAATAAAACTCACAGTTAACTGATACGAATAAATGAACCTACGCAGAATGACTGTCGGTAATGTCTGCGTCGCTCGTTCACGCACCATTGCCAGTACAGAAAATTGCTCAAAACTTGTAGTACTGGCTCACACTATGTAAATTCACCAGCAGTGGATCGACTCTTTCGGTCGAGAAAAGCTACAGCGCCCTAATTTGGCTGGCTCCGACTTTGAACGGAACAACCTTACGCGTAATCTTCGGATGCGTCGACCCTACAACAACTTATTGGTTTGGTTACTTCCGCCACCGAAGAAAAAGTTCTCAGGCTTATCGACAACATCGTTCCATGGTTCGATTTGGTTAATATTGAATTAATAAAACAAAAAACCAGTTCACAGCAAATTGCGGTATCACGCCATCGCTATTCTAATAGACGGTGCTTTTTTCGCATTGTAGTGGGTTGCGTGGACGAGGTTTTTGATAATTGTCGTTCCAGGTGGCGGCCAAGATGGTAGCGAGGCTTTTATTATACAAGAATTTTCCAAATAAATCACATGTTCGTATTTAGCCGTTTGTTTTGTGAAGATCTTTCTCACAAAAATAAAATACTTGTATGGATGGGAATTTATGTACAGGTCACAAATTTGCTGATTTGCGTTTTTTTGCGAGGAAGATAAAGGAAGAAGCGCAGACGCCAGAATTTAAAGCTCACTAAAACAGGCGCAAATGATACAGAAAATATGAACCTAGGCGCGAAAAATTACGAGCACGATTTGGAACATCACGTCGTTAAAAGTATACCATAAAAGAGAGCTGTTTCCTAGGAGGGAAAATGTTAACCCTAATTCCAGCCAAAGGAACACTTGTAGAGAATGGGTTGCTACGATGCCGAGCTCGTGCATTTCATGACTCCCGTAAAAGTATTCTAAGAATCTCAAGGACCGATACCTGTAGGGTCCTCTTGATCCAGGTTCGGTCAAATGAATGATTACTTATTTGTTAAGTACGCCAGTGACTGTTCAATCCGATGTGTGTCTTTGAGTCTTTGCACGGCTTTGATGGCGTAGCAATGGACGTTTAGCTATCCACGCACGCTTTGGCAAAAGTGTTCTACGGACACATTGTTGCTACGAAGGTAATAATCACGAAGATCTTTGGTTCTCGAAGACATCCGAAGAGTGACGCGTCAGTGCTTGTGAGAATGCCACCGTGGTCGATAACCGATCGCCAACGTACCTCGATGAACGTGTCAGTAGCTTTCCACTC